GTGTGTGTGTGTGTGTGTGTGTGTGTGTGTGTGTGTGTGTGTCCATGTGAATGGCTGGCAAGAGACAGAGGAGTGCTAATGGACACCATGAATGAATGAAAGAAAGAAAGAGTGAAGGCCAGCAGAAAATACAAAGCTTATATAATACTGCTTATTTCTATTCTACCTCAAATAAAGGAAGACGTTACCTAATGCAGAAAAATATGTTTGCGTTCATTCTGTTGAAACTAGGTTTGCAGAACAAAATGTCAAGTACTGAAAGGAGGAGATCCACAGATGACTTCTTGTAAACAAGCCGCTTGTGTTAACATCCATTTAAACTTAAAACACATTTTGGTTTGTGAGGTTTTCCACGACAACATATTGGCTTCGTAAATCACTCGCATAAGATGTTGTATTAAAGAGGACATATACAGGGTACATGTGTATGCTGTGCTTCTACTGTGACATGTGACAGGGATTTGAGCCTTTGCAGACCATTTACATGCACTAAAACCTATAGAACAAACTACAGCAGGGGTGTCAAACTCAAATACACAAGTGGGCCAAAATAAAAAAAACGATGCTAGTCGAGGGCCGGGCTGGTTCAATGTTTATTGCAGAACTTATTGAAATGAACTTATTGCACATATTAAACCTGGAACTAACAAATCTTAAATGATTGCCTATAAAAACAACATTAAACATTAAATAATCAGTTGCATTCATTTCTTATGGCTCTATCTGCAGCTTTTCCAGAGTCATTTCTTACAAGTACATTTTCCCAGGAGCTTCAACAAAACTATTTCCCTCAAAGAACAAACCAAACATGCCCTGTTGTCGTGAGAGAGAAAGTGCAGAAGGAAACATCCATTAAACTCAGTGTGCTGCTCTGTGATGCTAGTTCAGATACTTGGCATCTCATCTTGGGTGCAAGGTCATCAATGTTTGGGGTCAGGCTCTGAGCGGAGGAGACCCTCAGGATGGAGGGAAGGTGTGCGTGCAATATACCGGCGGGCCAGATCTAATAGGAATTAGAAATTATCCTGNNNGATACACGGATCGTGTTCAAATCAATAGGCACGCAATGACTCTAAATAATAATGATCACGCCACCAAACACACATTCAAACTAAAGGAACCAGCCTGTTTGGAAAGTCAGGTATTTGTGTTCAACATGTAAGAAGTAGAAAGTACAGGTATTTGTGTTCAACATGTAAGAAGTAGAAAGTACAGGTATTTGTGTTCAACATGTAAGAAGTAGAAAGTACAGGTATTTGTGTTCAACATGTAAGAAGTAGAAAGTACAGGTATTTGAGTTCAACATGTAAGAAGTAGAAAGTACAGGTATTTGTGTTCAACATGTAAGAAGTAGAAAGTACAGGTATTTGTGTTCAACATGTAAGAAGTCAAAGTAAAACAAAATAAGTAGTGGAGTAAAGTACTGATACCAGAAAAATGTACTTAGTACAGTAACGAAGTATTTGTACTCCAGTACTTCCCACCTCTGGTCCTTTATCACCATATGCCAACACAAAGCATGGGTAACAATACAATTACATTTTAAATGAGGTGAATCCACTGAATGCTCGTTGTTTGCTCTGCAGGATTGTCGTCGGTTGAAGAACTTCTCCTCTCTCAAGGCCATCCTGTCGGCCCTTCAGTCTAATGCAGTTTACAGGCTGAGAAAGACCTGGGCTGCTGTTAACAGGTAAGGTTGGGTTAGAGACGTCTCAAAGGCCACATTTCTGTCCCTCTCTGTCACTTTTATGTTGTTTTCTACATAATCGTCCTTTTAATGAGGACATTAAACCCTCATCGAGTGCAATTCAATGTCACTGACTGAGCAAGTCAGCAAATGTCTTGCTTCTTGGTGACATAAGGATCATCAACAAGGCAGTTAACAATAACTGAAGCATAACTTCATGTTGTTGCTTTAAGGCATTAACATCTGGTCATGTTTTATAGTATTCAAATGTCTAGTTTTGGGGAAAATGGCTGCATATTTAATACATTTTGTCTCGTTGTAGGGATAGCATGGCGACGTTTGATAACCTCTGGGAAACCTTCCCTGATGAGAACTGTGTTCTGACCAACAGAGAGCTCCTGCTGGAGGTGAGAAGGAAAATGTGTTTACAGTGTTTACCTTTGCAACGTTTATATGCATCTTTATAATTCAAATCACACAAAGGTTAAAGGGAGATGGATGTTTCAAATGCAGTTTGAATTGTACAAATCTTTACAGCCATTGTCAAGATATCAATGTAAGGAGTAAAGAAAACAGTCTTGCCCACGGTGACGGTGTATAATTAACCTAGTATAACATCAGTGAACTGTAATCCGTGTGTGATTTAAAAACCCAGGGAAACGTACATTGAACGTTTTGACCTATAGGGAAAAAAACTGTAAAAGCCGTCTACATAAAACCCTTTAAACCAGGGGTGTCAAACTCAATTTCATCGCGGGCCACATCAGCATTATGGTTGCACTCAAAGGGCCGGTTGTAACTTTAAGACTATCTAGAAATACATATATAAACATATCATATATCTAAAATAATGTATTATATAACATTATTGCCTCTGCATTGGATTATTATCGGATAGGGTAATAACTTCATAGTTAACTACGTCTGAAAGCAGAAGTCTAGGGCAAATAATTGCAAGTCTCTTCAGTGAGAATGTCACGAAATGATTTAAAAATTAAAGCCACATTCTGGGAAAAGAGTCAAAATGAGATGCATTGTGGGACATGTAGTTTATGGGCAATCCTTCTGTAAAGCGGCATGTAACCGTATAATAAATATATTATATTCTTTGCAAGCTCTTGTGGGGCCACATAAAATGAAGTCGCGGGCCGGATTTGGCCCCCGGGCCTTGAGTTTGACACCCCTGCTTTAAACGGTCTTATAAATGTGTCACATTAGCTGGGAAACATAAGGAGCCTGGGAACATACACTCCTGATGATACTGTATGTAGTTCATGTGAAATTGTCTCACTGTGTAAAATAATGTAGGTAGATAGAAGATAGTCTACAGTAAATGCTACCTGACAAGAACAATTGTTAAGGTGGTAATCTTCCTATATATTTCAATAGAAAATATTTTTCCTACGTTTGCATCTAAGCACTCTAAGCACCTGTTGCATACAGAGAATAGTACATACGATATGTCACGTATTGAAACCATGTCTGGGAATGATTGTCCTCCTAAGCACATGGATTTCTCTTTTTATAATCATTACAAAAGATACATTTTTCAAGTTTAATATTTACAGAAATGTTGAACAGAGTTAATGGGAAACCAGTCGCCTGCAGCACATTGTGTTCCCTCTTTTCTCTTATGAAGTCCTCTTAAGGCAGCTGCGTCAGAGGTGACTTTTGTCTAGTGAAAGTCAATAGGTCATAGAAAGACTGGTATTATCTGCACAAACACAGAAGTATTCATTGCTTTAAAATACCATCCAAAGATATCCATTTGGATGTCTTTCTAAATGTCCCACTTTTGTTAACTTCTTCTCCTTTTCACTTTCCAATATACTGTAGTTGCATCATTCAGGCGCAGCCCTTTCATCAAAGGAGGCATTTCTCCGTTTAACCTCAGTGACTCACACATTTGCTTACAGCCTAATCGCTGCTTTTCATAGATATAACATACAAAGACTTCCGAGAGAAAGCTTGAAAGTGGCCTCTCGCCCTTTGCACAAGATAATAATTAAACAGGATATCCAAGTTAATGTATAATAAGTGTTATTCTTGTGTTGAAGAACCTGCTTCACGAGCATGTATGCATTTTGTCCAGTCTGCTCCTTCATTCAAATGAAAAAAATATGCTGGTGAGGTTAAGTCATTTAAAATATCACCTCCAACTGAATATAGCTCTGTCTGACCTACTTCGACAGGATGGAGGCGCGGCGGCTGTAAATAACATTTCCCCAAAGATATCGAAGAGGTGTCCGATCCCCAGACAGATGGTAAGCCATATCTCAGGATCAGAAAGGATTGAGATATGTTGAAGCCGAGAGCCAGATGTGATACATTTGCTTTTTCACAATGTTCATTTTTCTTGTGATATTGTCTTTTTTTTTTTTCAACCTGGGGCAGGGCTTAGTTTCAGCTTTTCACAATCTCACATGCAACCCTATTATACAACGTTAAAAGCCACCAGAGAGCGGGTTTCACTCCGTGTGGGTGGAGTATGTCTGGCATGGCATATACCCAAACCTATCTTTAGCCTCGCTCTGAGCTGAGCAAGTTTCAAATGGCCCCAGATCACCGGGATTATAGGACGGTAATAATAGACCAGACTGGGGTCTTTTATGAGTCATATGCACATTCTCCTGGGCCGTAACATGAACCCACAGTGCTGCTAAATGGGATTTTCCTTGTGTGAATGCATCAAATAAAATAAAAAGCTAATGACTGTGTTAAAAGGACACAAATAACCACACGCAGTCAGTGACACAGGAAACTTTAACCCTTCTTCCATGTGTGTCTGCAGAGTACCTCCAGTGGAGTGGTTCCTTACCTGGGCACATATCTGACCGTCCTCACCATGCTGGACACTGCTCTGCTAGACACTGTGGAGGTAAATAATGTAGCCTTAATACAGTTCCTCTGTTTAATATTTGACAGTGTTAACATTCAATAGTTAGGTATATACTGTGTTCAGTAAAATATGTCTTTATGTCATGAATTTTCACCAAGTAATAAGTTACACTTTACTTCAATCCCTCCTTTTCTGCATTTGTAAGGAGTATGCTAGTTGTATTACTCTGTTTTGCTAGTTGCAGTCTGCTTCAATACAATTTTCAAATTTAAACCAATATGACAAGTGGATCAACAATTTCATAAATGTTAATGTAATCTAAAGGTAGCTTTACTTCAGATAATTATGTGAATTCAATGGGATTCAAAATGGTAGCTACAAAAGCTAAGCTAACGTTAGCTACCCTTAGCAGGCGTTTAGTCAAGTTTTAACTTTATTAGTTACCGACTCATTTAGCTACTCAAACAATATTAACTAAATGACTAAGATGTCAGTTCAACCAAATGTATATGTTATCTTATTTACAGAGCTAAAGAAAATCGACATAAGGACATTTCGTTTTAGCTATCATCAGCTAGCTTGATATTAGCCTTCTTGTTTTAGCTTTCTAGTAGTAGGTTGTGTATACATATTGGAAACATCTACATGACATTTTGATTACCTTCATTACAGCTGTGTTATTATATTATCATATTGTTTTGAAGGATTCACAGGAGGTATTGCTATTAAAAAAATATACACAACCTGTTAAAGACAATTTTAGTGACATTTAGATATAGTGCTCTTAATAATAAATAGGGATGTTAGCAAAAGAACAATAAAAGATAACAAATTATACTATTACTTGATCCAATAAATCATTATTGTATTCAATATACATTCTTTCTCTTTTGACAGGGTGGGCTCATAAACTTTGAGAAGAGGAGAAGGGTAAGTGGTTCCTCTTTGTACCATATTTTATATATTCACTTTTATTTTTAAACAAAGTGTCCGCGTACATTTCTGTCAGCACTGACTTAGCTGGGTGTGTGCAGTATATTTGCATGGTCAGAATAAACAGGGACATTTTGTCTTTTCAGTCGGACATGACGAAAGCTAAAGAAAGGTTTAAACAAATTCAATTCAAATTCATAGGTTTTATTGTCATATGCACATAAGCTACAGTGTAGAAATGGCAATGAAAATCTTCTGACCTGAGCTCCTCCAACAATGCAACATGTAGCCTATAATAAAATACAAAATAAAGAATAGTGCAAGAAGTCTATACATGTAAATAGAATATGACAAGAACAGAATATTAAATAATGTACATTAAGACTAAATTAAATACAGTTTATTGTGGTGATACCTATTTTATATAAATAAGTAGATTGCAAGATGACAAACAGGAATGTTTATCGGGGCACTTAGCAGAGCTCATTTTTAGACCTTTTCATATCTCTTTAAGGATCACTTTCATTCGTTCATTCTGTTTTAATCCTCTGTCCTTTCCGTCTCCCTGCAGGAGTTTGATGTTTTGTCTCAGATCCGTGTGCTGCAGATGTCCTGCTCCCAGTACAACCTGCCCCATCACTCCAGAATCTCTGCCTGGCTGCGGGGAAGCAAGCTGCTCACAGATCTGGAGAGGTGAGCTTCTTTGTTTATTGGGTTTTTTCAACAGCATACAGTTATTCTATCAGAGCATGTGTCAGAAGTAGGTAAAAAAAAATCTTCTCTTTATAGAAAAATAGGTAACAATGTAAATCCCGCTTAATACCAAACAAAATCCCACACAGACAGAAGACAAACAGACATACAACAACAAATAAATGAATAGAAAACCAGTCAGCTAAAACAAAAATGTCAATAATAAACAATATGTCAGTACGGCAGCACCTCGTCCCCGCGACAACCCGTTCAGTGTTGGCTGGAGAGGTGAGCTTCAATAAAAAGTGGTTTAATATTCCCATCATACCCCTGTGATCGGATCCCAAGCAGAGGGAACGCCCGCTGAAATTCCCAATAAAAGTCGAGTTACATAATCCGAATTATGCGTTGTTAAAATTCTTCTACTGTCAATAAAACCTCCCCATATGGACGAATACACCTGCGTTGCTTTTATAATTTTCCATTGAATTAGGTGCAGCATCAATCAAAGTGTCCTGTTACACTGAGTAATGTCTGGTGGTCAGTTAATCTGTTTTTATTATCAGTGGATAACAAGGACCTCACCTTGTCGTAAAGAAGCCATTCCTTTGACATTTATATTGTAAAAATGAACTAGTATAACTCTATGAATGTATAAGAAGGCTGAACAAATAAAAGAAGAAGTCTGCTATCTGCAGGAAAAAAGCTAAAATTATATAAACATTATATAATTACCAGAGCAGTTATGAACCTATGCCAAATAGTAGAAGTGTCCATTTACAATAAATAATACACAATACATAAAGTTACAATTTGTTATTAATAACATTGTTTTAAATGGACAAGAACAATGTCATAAATAGACAAATAACAACAACAAATATTTTACTTTTGTTTTTGTTAAATTATTATTGCCACCCCAGATTTTCCTGATTGGTGTTTGTATTTCATTTTATGTCCAAAAAACAAGTGATATAATATTTGCTGCCACAATACTTTCAATGTAGGAAATGTTATTACAAATGCTTAACAAAAAAGACAGTATATGATCATTTTAAAGTCGAATAAAACATGGGCTGTAAAGAATAATAAAAGAAACCTGAGGAAAGTGAAAATAACTTTATTTACAAAAAATAAATATGAAAATGATGTAAAAATGTTCCCAGTAAAAACAGCATTTTCCTCAGTAAATGAATATATGTTTTTGTTACAGCTATGACCTGTCGAGGCAGCTGGAGCCTCCGGTGGATCTGTGTTCTCCGACCTCCTGGAGACACCGCACGCTCACAAAGAAACTCTCCTCGTGAGTACGCTGCTGCGCTCACTGTTAAATGTGCAAACATTTTACTATGTACACTATACACACACGCACACACACGCACACACACACACACCTACCTTTAAACAACACCTGAACACTAAAGTCACAGTGGGTGCAGAGAGTGTTCACGTTGCTACAACAAGATGTAATCTGTTGAGCAGTGTGATTTGTTGTATGAAGTGTTTACACACAGTAAAAGGAAAATGTATTAGTTTAAATATTTTCCCGTATTTGTTTTGTTTAAAGTCCATAGTTCTGCACAGTTGCCGATAAAGCTGAGACTCGACCAGTATTATATTATTTTTTACAATTAGATCCTAGTAGTGCTTAGGATTATATTTCTTTTTATACAACCCCAAATATAAAAAAAGAAACCTAGGCAACCACATAGTAATATAAAAAAAAATGTGATTACAAAAATGTGTATTTATGTTGAGGAAGAATGTGAGATATGTATATTCAAAATTGAGTAATCAATTAATAAAGGTGAATTCGTAGTCCAATTTAGAGACCCTATTTATATTGAAGATGACTTGATTTTATTATTATTTTCAAGAAAAAGACACTACATCATAACCTCATAACCCAAACCATTGAAGCTTCATTATGAACACTTTAATTGTAAATAGACTCGATTTTAAAAATAAAAAAGTGACCAACACTTGTGATGTATGTTTGTTCAGCCCTTTATTGCAGCATTATGTTTGACTGGTTCTCATGGTGTCTCTCTGTCCTCAGCCTGCTCACAGTGAGCGACGGCTCTAAAAAGGTCCCGGCCGATCAGATCAGCGTCTCCTCCTCCGGGTCCAGCGGCTCAGAGATGGAGGATCTGTCCTGCCCAAACGCCACCTGCTCCATCGGGCTGCAGGTAAACAACTGTGTGTGTGTCTTTGTTTTGTACTCTGTCCTCACCACAGTGCTGTCTCTGTTTGTCACGCTTCATCGCATGATATTGTGTGTTCAGAGAAACAGCCTCTGTTTACACGTCACAAACAATCGTCTGGCTTCAGGCTTTAGGCATCTGCAGAAACGACACAGACACTCTGAAAGGCCCTTGTTGACCTATATTACTGAAGTACTTATGTCACACCTGCAATAGGACTTCAACTAACACGTCCTCAACCATTATCTCATTTGATTTACAAAGCCCAATGTCACAAACACATTGGTCTCAGTGGGCTTTACAGATCAACAAACATGAAGGACATTATACAAATAAAATCATGTGTGACAAGTGTGGTCCTTATTCTACGGTGTCACATTTCTTTTTTTGATCTGACCAAATGTTTATTTCTTTTTTTGAATTTAGTGAAAACAATTCTGAGATAAAAGTCAGATTTTCCCCCAAAATTATATATTTTTTCTTTAAATTATTTTAAGAAATAATAATAGTTATAATATAGTACATATATGTGACCCGCTCTATCGAAATCAGTCGGAAGTCGTAACGGCTCATTTAAAAATAAACGTGGATTATGTAAAAAAAACTAGTTTTTCAGGGTTCGGGTGTTTTGTTTGATTTTAAATAAACAAAGTCTTGGCTTTCAGAATATGAAACTTTTATTTCCAAAATCAAACGATAAATACATGTTTGAAGCTTGGAAAGGGAAGAAGACAGCTCTCACTCGCCACTCTGCTGTTCCAGAGACCTGCCCCCCCTCCCTCCGCTGGAGGCGTATAGTAATCATAGATAACACGGCAGGGTCCGTTACAGTTTGTTTTCATCTGATTTCAAATAAACAAAGTCTTGGCTTTCAGAATATTAAACTTGTTTTGGCAAATTCAGATGATAAATACAACTTTGAAGCTTGTGACGGCATAAATACAAGCGGTGAACGGAGTAACTTGACGTCACAGCAGGCATAACAACAGCCGATGTTTCTCGTGAGGGTTTTGTTGGGAAACAAACACAATACACACTAACGCAAAAATACACACACACACACACACGCTTCTCCCAGACCAGCAATCCAAACGAAAATATGTTTCCTCCGTACTACTTTGATCATTTGCTAATAACCAATCAGATCGATGGATTCCAGAGAAGAGGACACTTTGAAGGCCTTNCGTGAATTTGTGAAAGTTATTGTCGGGTATGGCGCAAGTTCAGGGATAGTACTACTTACTTTTGTTAGACGCACAACTACCTTACATGTCAAGAAAGATAACTGCTTGTGCAGAGAGTAGAAAACTACCGCGTTAATAAAAATACACGGAGGGCAGTTATCGTGGCTGGTGTGGCCCTTATGGACGTAACGGTACTCAACCGAAACTAGGACACAGTCAACAACTAACAGGGTTTCCTTTAGGCCTATTTGACAACCTACTATACACCAGATCTCTCACGTAACTACCAACCAAATACCGTGCCGACTGACTACCAAGCTATAAGGGATGCTCATTGGATAATAGTTTGCAGGGCGCTTTTAATTGCCTCCTTGATTTAATGCAATTTACGTATTTTTATTGTTTGCTCTCTCTCTTTAACGTGCATATACAACGTCATTATCGTGGTCTGCACAAACTTGTCATCATGCGTGTATTCTGCTAACTGCACTGTCCATAACTATTTGATAGGAATACATTTCTAGCCTAGGCTATTTCCTTGTTTTAGTGGGCTCGTTTGTGGGATGTTGCGGATGAGTTTCACCGAGACCGCCTGCTCTGAACAACCAATCACCGTACTGACCGCTTCTAAACTCATGCACGAGAATCGACGTCATCCATAGCAACGGCGCGTCACTCTTAGTTCACTCTTAGTGATTTATCCTTAGTATGAGTAGGTCTCAGCGGCTTTGTGAATAACTTTTAAGAAAAAACTCCTACGTAAAATGTTTTAGCGCGAGTTAGGAGCACTCCTAGCGGTAAGATAAAATGCTTTGTGAATACGGCCCCAGGTGTATATCAGTATGTAGTTACTCTACTGGGACATGTCTCCATGCTTTAATGTTCAAAAAGCTCTTAAAGTCCCGCTCCTTAGCCTATCACGTACAATGTGTTGGAGCGCTAGCCAATAGAAGCGCAAGTGTTACGTAGTGATGTCACTATGTTCAGGAAGTAAACAAAGGAGTCCCATGGAGGTGTTTCCGGCAGATCCTTATAAAAGTTAAAATAAGGTTTTCATTAGTGGACATTTTATCCTTCTACTTTTCTCCACAGTGATAATCTCCACATATACATTTAAAATTGTTGAAGCGTAAATGCAATCTCCAGAAGCAAAAAGTAACGTTAGGCTATACATCACAGTCACATGACTTCAAGTCTCCACCGCTAAGCTAAAGGTGGCCAATGTTCGCCGTTTAGTAGTCTCATCTCGTTTACTTGTATTTAATGTCGTAGATCAAAACCTGAAAACCTCTTAAGCTTTTAATAAAGACAGAGCTTATTTCAGGCATCTAAGTGAAACACACTCAGAAAACCATAAAGCTTGAGACTAGGGAACAGGAAGTGAATAAATGCTGACTCATTTCTGGGTTTTATGACTCATTCCTGCACCACTCTGTATAGGTCATTTTTATATATATACGTTTTATATATAAAAAATGGCAATACAATTGTGTCCGGTCTCTGAGGAGGCTTTATGGACACCTGTTTGACCTAAACTATATTTTGGCCAATCAGGAGAGACTTCAACACAGAATCCTCCTTTCTTCCGAGGAGATCTTAATGTACTTCGATTCCTCTGCTTGTTCGCAGTATTGAGTGTTTTTTCAAGTGTGTGTTAAGTACATTGTATGTTCCTGCCTGCTTGTCTATTTTTAGACATGTGGCGACCTTGCACACATTACCTTCATGGATGAATTAGTGTGTGTGTGAATGGAGTACGTGTGGAGCCTCCTCCTGTGTGAGTCATGCAGTGACGTAAAACACTTTCTGACACACACACACACACACACAGATGTTGGACAACACACTGCCAGCCTTCACGTGCTCTTCCTGTCCTTCCCATCCTTCTCTCTCTTGGCCTTGCTTTTTTTCCTTCATCTTCTACCAACAACCCACCCATTTCCTCAGCTCTGTGTCTATTCACACGAAAATATTAAGGAGTGCTGCAGGGATGACGTCTTTTTGTATCTGACCCGGAAGTAAGCATCGAAAGGGCTACCTTGGCAAAAGCAACAGGATTTTTGCATTTGATTTTGGTACTTTTACTTATACTTAACCATTTTGTTAACCAGGTTAATGTTCACATATTAACACCACTTTTTGAATAGTTGAAGCAAAAGTGCAATATCCAGATTAAAAAAATCTAACGTTAGGATCAAGCGGCAAACTCTGGGGCAGAGCCGGGAGGCCAATAAGGAAGTGCCACAAACTGCAGTTCATCTATTGGCCGATAGGCGATGACTGCAGAAAGGATGAATTTCCATGTTAAAATCTATGGTTAAAATGCCCAACTTTACAGCAGAAATAAATATGTTTCTACCCCTGGATGCAATACAAATCATTCGGGATATACTTAGATTCCACCTTAATGATTATTAAGTGTTGAGTGAATTGTTTTATAATCCAACCCTTTTATTTTTGTTAGGTCTTAAAGTTTTTGCATAAATTAGGGCGTGGTCACTTTGATGGACCTCACTGTCAGCTAACAGCAACTTGTCCACTCTGCTAGGCTACAACGTTAGCTAGTTGTAGTTACTGTACTTTACCCTTTAGCCGTGTTCGTGGTGATTGTGCCTTTTAGGGAATGTTGTTACAAATACCAGACAATTAAAATGTAGTGCTGTGCGGTTGAATGTACTAACAGCTTTAAGAATATGACAATAACACAGATTCAGTTGAAACAAAACAAGCTGTTTCTCCTCACTCACTTTCTCTTATTTTTCTCTGCCTGTTGCTGAAGAATTTCTCTCGCTCTGTTGCAATGCAGTCTGCTGGAGCTCAATGTAAGCATATTGCTGCTGCTGCTGCTATTAATCATGAGCTGTCTCTGAAGTAGCTCTACCAAGAATCCCACAAGTGTTTCTGGAAGGCTATATGATTCTTAGAAATGTGGGTTTACTGAGGACTGTATTACATGACATGTCCAAAGCGACTTCCATGCTCAACACTGTGGACAATCCCCACAGGAGCAATTTGGGGTGAAGTGTCTTGTGTCACAACGACATGCTGACTGCAGTGGGGATTTGAACCTGTGACCCCCTGATCCCAACACCAAGGCTCTATCCACTGCGGCACCGTCTCCCTAAAGTTTTGTGGAGAATGCGGGCATCGATCCAGCTACCTCTCGCATGCTAAGCGAGCGCTCAGGCAGATTGAGAAAAACAAACTGTCATCTCTCGCAAATGATGTTAGTTTAGTTAAGTGTTTTTTTTTCTTTGTCTCCTGATTTTCCCCTTTAATTTTGAATAGTAATCTTTCCTCTCGTTTCAGATACTCTGACCTCCCTTCCTTGTGTGTCTCCCACTCCTGTGATTGTCGACCACGCCCCTGATTGTTTCCACCTGTTCCCCATTACCTGGTGTATTTATTGTCCTCGTCTCCCTCTGTCCTGTGCCAGTTCGTTTCGTTTCATGTGACCGTCTACCAGCGCATCATGCCAGAAAGAATCCCAAGCAGAGCTTTGAGCCACGTCTTGTCTAAGTATTCTTATATTCATGCTCCCAGTGTTTTTTCCTCATCAAGAGCGACTTTGTTTTGATTCTGTTTTTCCTCGTTAAGAGTGATTTAGTTTCCCACTGTCGTGAGTTTTGGTTTGAATAAAACCTTTTTTGTTAAAAAAGTGTGTGAGTCGTGCAATTGAGTTCAAACCCGTTTATTCAGTCGTAACACAAACATTAAAGCAAGGAAACATGTCACAGTAGTGGCACAACATACTGATATGAACCTGAAAATGATCAGAATAGTATGCACGATAGCTACAGGGTGGTTTTGGCTATTAAGTTTGAATGTAAGAGCATTTAACGTTGTCAATGTGGTGCCAAATGAAGAAATTAAGTTAAATACCGATATTGGTAAAGAACTGCATCATCAGCATCATGTGTTTTTATAGGTCAAAAGTAACAAGGGTTAAATAAATTAAGTAGAGGCATTAAAAGTACAATATCCGCAGCTTAAATGTAGTGGAGTAGATGTATAAAGGAAAGGATAAAAAATAGTATTTTATGTGAGTAAATATACGTATTTGCTGTCCGGTGAAACACCAAATGCTGTCTGTAAATTCACATCATTCCTCTCTGAAGGTCACTCAGCACTCCAGTGTTTGAACTAAGACTCTGTTATGTTGAATGTCATCGGCAGCATTATGAGAGGGTCTGCATACCCAGAGGTCACAGGTTCACTGACCCACATAGTCCCGGCTTAACTTGTCTTTTCTTACAACTCGCAGATGCTATCCTGAAATGCAGGCTGCGTGTTTGGCGACCGTCTGTTTGTCTGAGCTCTAAACTCCACCTGTCGTCATGACAAGACACTGGGGTTCAGTTAGTCAGCCATTGTTTTGTTTTTTCAAGATTTAAAGGTTTTAATGTCTTATGCACATAAGCTACAGTTTAGAAATGGCAATGACAATCATATGACCTGAGCTCCTTTGCCAAAGATGCAACATATATAATAAAATAAAAAATAAAAATAGTGCAAAAGTCCATATATGCGTAAATACAATATGATATATACAAGAAAATAATGTACATTTAAATATTGTACAGAAAGATGAAATTAAATACTGTTTGTTACAGTGATAACTATTTTGATAAATAAATAAATTGCAAGATGACAACAGATGAATGTTTATGGAGGCACTTTACAGAGCTAAGGGGTATTATTCATATTATTTCGTATTTAGTCTTAGGCCTTCACACACCAGGGGCACTTTCTTGTGAGCAATGTATTTTTTAAATTACATCACATGTCACTTGTTAGACGCTTTTATCCAAAGCGACTTACATACTCTGTGGGCAATCCCCACAGGAGCAATTTGGGGTGAAGTGTCTCAGGGACACAACGACATGCTGACTGCAGTGGGGTTTGAACCTGTGACCCCCTGATCCCAACACCAACGCACTAATCCACAACACGTAGCGAAAAAGCAACGTCATTTCATTTTGGAGGTAGGATATATATTTGCGAGTTTTCATTTTCCATTAAAGGATCTTCTTAATCACATTTTAAGGAAAAACAACAAGACAGATAATCTGTATTTCGAAACCAAGACCTCAAACTATTTTACTCCTTTTTAATTTAGTCAGATATTCTTGCATTCAGTCTTGAGGTCTTTACAAACCGGGGACTTTTGAGGTGTGATTAACCCTTCGATGCACGAATGACTGGACCCTACACTCTTCAATAAGCGGGTCTAAAAGGACCCGTATTAGAATACTATCTGTTTTCATGACATTTTTGTCATTTTGGTTAAGAAAAATCACTTGTATAAAATTTAGTATTGTAATATCTTATATTTAATTTTTCACTATTTATAATTTTAGAAAAAAAATGTACATTTAAAAAAAACAAAACGTTTTTAACATATTGTCCCAAAAATCTCCGCTATTCTGAGACCCTCACAGTATTCCAGTCCCTTTTCAAAACTAATCTCTTCTCCTCTTGTCTACTCATAGCCCACCCCCCCCCC